CATAGGGTGGCTATGAGTTGCCTGTGACTCAACAGCACTTAACAACAACATCCTTGTTAGATTATTAAAATTCTCAAGATAAACTGTAAGCATAGGTGCCAAAGATATGTGGTTCAAATCCACCAGCTGCTCTGCAGGAGAAAGATGGGCAATCTTCTCCCATGTGATTTACTGCCTCTGACAACTCACGGGAGGATCAGCTATTGAGTCTATTGTAGTTGACAGCACACAACAGCAATATTCTCTGAATTAATGCCACAGAAATTTCGCAAGAGGGATGAAGTTTTATAAAACAATTTTTGTTGTGGAGTACACATAAAAATGATTTCTTAGTACATTTCAGCTCTACGTTCTCTTCCAATTAATAACCTATGACATAAAATTAAAAAACTAAATTGAGAAACTCTGATAGGTAAAAAGAATACATAATAAGCTATGTTCTACAAGGTGTTTTTAAAACTCAGACATAAATTCTGAAGTCTTTAAAGAAATTGGCATGAGCTTACGTGAAAGATGAATTTCATAAAGGAAGTTGCAACTTTTTATAAATGAAAAGGACACTTTCCTCTTTAGACTCATTTCCAAATTTAGAAAAGGCCTCAAACTGAAAAATTGTGTCTAACCACAATCAATGTACATTCACTTAACCCAGACTTTTATTACTCATGTCCTGTACCAATGCAAACTCTAAAAAGTATTTAACCCAGTTAAGTAACTACATTAAATGACAGAGAATGTCTGTCCTGTTTTTTTCAAACCTCTCAAATTATTATTTTCTTTCTCTTAATAGTATGAATTTAACGAAGCCTGATAAGAGCCAAAATAGATTTGTAATCACACGCCCTTGCTTGACTCTTTTTTTTTTACTCATGGCTGGTAATGGAACGGAGGAGTTCTGGTGTCGCAGTCTACAGAGACCTTCACAGTTCACTAAAAGGCTTTGACTTTGATGATTCAAACCCGCCAGTACTCCACGGGAGACAGACTGGCAGTCTTCTGTTGGGATTTTCAGCCTCAGAAATCTAATGGAAGGTCATCATGAGTCAGAACTGATATGATGGCAGAAAATCTGAGTTTGTTGGGTTTCTGTGGCATAGTGGGGTAACTGTTAGGCTGCTTCATGGAGATAGATGAGGAATTCTCTTCCCAATAAGATTTACAGCTTCACAAACATGACAGAAGATGGCCAGGATCCATAATCAACTGATGACTAGTGAGGTTTTTAGATTTATATAAATTTTAAATGAGCCCTGGTGGTACAGCAAATGCTCATCTTCTATGCAAAATTATGGTGGTTCAAACCCACTAGCTGCTGCTGTGTGGTAGAAAGAGGGGTCAGTCTGCTTCTAGAAGATTAACAACCCTGGAAACCCCATGGCGTGGTTCTACTATCTAGAGGGTGGATATCAAGTAGACCAACTCAAGAGCAACTGAGTTAGTGTGTTTTGTTTTGGTTTTTTAAAAGTCCATTTCAACAATACTATAACTTAAGACATAAATTCATACATATTTTTAAAAAAGATTAATAAGAAAAGTTGTGGTCATATGGACAGAGTGCTACATGCTAAGATAATGAACAATGAAATATTATCAAGTCAGTGACCCAAACACGTGTATTCTTATATTCTAGTAATAGTCAGGACCCTCAAAGAAAACCTAATAAGAATTATAGATAAACAAACCTAATTCACTCATTTTAGAATTTCCATTTGTTTGGTATGATGAATCTGCAAGAGAGATAGCAAGAAAATGATTAGAGCTGTAAAGGAAATGCATCATCACATCCTTTACCACAGGGCCTTCAGCAAAGCCATAACAGACCTTTACCACTGTAGACTAATGAAGAATGGCTGTTTTTAAAATTGATACGATTTTTAAACAGAATGATTGACAAAATTAAAAAAATAAATGAAATATAAATTAAACACTAATTAAATAGAAAAGAAATAAAACTCCTTTTTAGTTCCTATGACATTGTTAAAGGGTAATTAACCATCGAAAATGAAGTAGTAGTCAATAATCTATTAATAACAGATTAATAATCTGGTTTTCTATCACAGTCACAAAATTAACTTAGGGGTAATTATTTTCCAAGTTTTTAGTGAAAAGGAAATGTACATGGGATAGAAAAATTTTTAAATTCAGAGCCACAAATCCTCATTTTGAATTTCTCATTAACATTATGTTGAAAAGAATAAAAAGACCTTGACTTTAACGTAAAATCACTCTATCAAAAAAAAAAACAAAAAACAACTATCTTTACTAGAAATTTTACTAGAATTTTTCTTGCAATAAGATTGAGATTGTTCACAGTTTTTGTTTGCTTGGATCCACAGGCAACACTTTTGGCACCAGCAGGCAGGAAATTAAAAGACGGATTGTGACGGGAAAGTCTGCAATTAGAGACCTCTCTAAAGTGCTGAAGTGCAAGGATGTCAGTTTGGAGACTAAGGTGCGCCTGATACAGGCCATGGTCTTTGCAATCACTTGCTATGCATCAGAGAGCTGGATGATGACTAGGGATGACAGAAGGAGAATTGATGCCTTTGAGCTGTGGTGTTGGAGAAGAGTACTGAACCATATTGGACCATAGACTGCTAGGAAAACAAACAGGTTTGTCCTGCAGAGGGTGAAGCCAGGCTGCTCCCTGGAGGCAAGGATTCTCAAGCTTCATCTGACATACTTTGGACATGGAGGCACGTCATGTTTGGGAGGGTGGAGGGACAACGCAGGACAGGAAGACCCTTGAGATGGATTGATGCAGTGACTGGGATAATAATGGGGGCAGGTGTGTCAGAGATGGTGAGATTGGCACAGGATAGGGCAGAGTTTAGGGCTACTGTACATAGGGTCGTTATGAGTCGTAGGCAACTCAACGGCACATAACAACAACAATAATTCCATTCAAACCATTTTAGAATATAGAAAAAAGATTAAACACTCTCAAATTTATTCTCTGAAGCAAGCCTAACCTTGATACCAAAGACAGGCAAATATAACGCTAAAATTTTTTTTCATATCAATAGTCCTTATGAACACAGATGCAATTTTCAATGAAATTCTAGTCAATAAGGTCTAATATCAAATAAAAAAAATGCTGGGGTGTGAGATATTAGAACTTTCATACATTGCTGGTGAGATTGTGAAATGCTGTAAACACTGTAGAAAGCAATTTAGTACTTCCTTAAAAGGTTGAAAACAGAAATAATATTTGAGGCAGCAATCCCCCTGCTAGGCATAAAGCCTAAAGAAAGAAGAGCTGAGACATGAACAGATACATGCACGCTCACATTCACTGAAGCATCATTTACAAAAGGAAAGAAATGGGAACTACCCATGTGTCCATCAATGGATGAAGAAATACACTATACACTGTATTTAAGAATACAGTATTACAAAATATTAAAGAAAAATGAATTATTACACAATATTGTGGGGTATTACACAATATTAAAAAATGAAGAAGTCACAAAGCACTGTACAACATGGACAAATCTAGACGATATTAAGCTGAGAGAAATGAGCCAGTCACAAAAAGACAAATACTGTATAACTCAACTATTACAAAAAGCTAACAAGAAAGGTTCATATCCAGGAAAGGCAATATATAATAAGGGGATGATTATCACAAACCGACTAATGGAAACAAAGATACGTAGAGTTGTACAAAAAATACAGTCAACAAAGGTAAATAGTATTACATAGGAAATTGCAAAATGTTAGAAATAACAATGGTCAATCTACAAACAGATAGGTAAACAGACAGGCAAGAAGAATAAATAAATTAAAAAAAAGAAAAGAAAGAGCAAATACGTACAGGTGAAAACGTTTGGGAGATGTTATTTCTATGCTCATAGTAGTACATGCTTAAAATGTATCCATGTACACAAAGAACCATATGAGTATATCCTGTAAATATATCCATATATATGAAAAAGCCAACTGGGGCAAAGTTACAGTGTCTTAATCACCATTATCAAGCACCTGGAGGGAATGAGAAGCTAGGCCTCAGGGTCGTATGTACTGAAACAAGAGTCCAAACGACTAACGGGTTATGTCCACCACCACTTCTAGAACTGTGCCACCAGAAGAATGTGGGTGATACCTGGCTACCACTGCTGACCAGCTTAAGAGGGATCATAGTAGGAGGTCCTAGAATGGAGGGAAATGTGGAATAAAACTCAAGACCCTAAAAATGGCCAAGCTTAAAAGTCTGGGAGAGACTGATGGAATCCTGGAGATTATGGCTTCCAGTCACCCTTCAACTTGTAACAAAATTCACCCATATGGCTCAACTTTTGGGCAAACAACAGATAGGTCTATATGATGACCAGTAACACCACAGAGGTACTGACTCCTCGGAATAGCAGCACCTGCCCAAAGATGAAGCTCTCAGATGGCAGTAAGGGGGAAGATGAAAGGATTAATGGAAATGAGAATCGCGGGGAGACTGTGGGACAAACATGATTATATTGTTGGCATTGTAATTAATGTCACAGAACAAAAATACATATCAATAGTTAGAGTGGGGGGAAAATAGAGTGGGAAATCAATTTGCTTTGTAATCTTTCATTCAAATTACAATAAAAAGGAAAAAAATGAATGAGGAAATCTTTTTTGAGGTGGAAAGATATCACAATGTAGATATGGAAAAAATTTAAAAAAAAATACACTAGATAAGACTAACACAAAAAGCCCCTCAAACATTAGGAAAGAGCATATGAGAATTTATCACGTTGCAATTTGAATTAAAAAGGTAATGGATACATTAATTTTCTTTTATCTTCTTATAATATTACAGGACAAAAGTATAATAACGGAGCTGTATTGATAACCCTGAGGAGACTGGGTATCCAAAGAACAGCAGTGGTGGGGAGAATTTTCACTGGACAGCTGGCAAAACTTATGAACTCTGAACCATATAAATGCATATAATATCTTATTTAAGAATAAAATTATATTTATGAAAAATTAAACTAGTAGACAAAGTAATCTCTTACCTGATCTTGAGTTTCTTAAAGGAGGTCTACGCAGACTAAGTACAGGGTCTTCACTCAACACTAATAGAGGAAGAGAAAACATTTAAAAGAATACAAAATAGTGAATGTATGAGTTGAATATACAGCCATTCCTTTATTTGCCCCACAGAAGTTTACTGATCTTTTTATGATGTGAGATGAAGGAATACTACAATGAATGAGGGACTGGCCTCCTGCCATAGAATGTTTATGATCTGGTTGGAGAAATTCACAATTTTTCTCAATAGAATATACTGTTTTAAGGGAGCTCTGGTGGCCTAGTGGCAAGAATCTGCACTGCAATCCCTAAGGCAGGCAGTTCAAATCCACCAGATGCTCTCCTGGAGAAGAAGGAGGGACAATCTCCTCTTGCAGCAGTCAGATCCAATTTGATGGTACACAAAATAATAAAATAAAACACAACACAAAATAAAACAAAATAAAATAAAACTATATATATATACTGTTTTAAAAGGAAAGAGAAGTTTCAATTTATCAGTTAAGAGCCAAATTTTATAATGCACCATCAACTCAATGATCATTTTCATTTGTGGCTTAACATTACAAATCATTGATGTTTCATTATTAATGATTTCAATATTAATTAATATTTCAATCTTACACTCAATTTTGGGAGAATCAACATACACCATCGCTACCACTAATGACACTGTCTAGCCAGAAAAAGCAAACTCTAATTTTAAATTAGATAGGATTAGTTTTCATGCCAGCTTAGAGTACCAGTGATTAAGAGTCTCACAAAACATATTCTAAAACTCAATATATAGCTAAATATGGATTATCTTTTGTTAGTATATAAAAGCATTATATTTTCAAGTCTGTATGAGAACTGCAAAAATCACATTCTGTACTAGCTATTGTTGGCTCACCCCATTACAATGATTTCATATTATCTATTTTTGCAGTCAACCAATTTCCCTTTACTGTATCTGAAGAGAGATACCTTCAAAGAATATCAATGTATTTGTACAAAAATACTTACTGAAAATCTTATTACACATCTTAAGTACAGGATATAGAAAATGTACTCTCTTGTAAAGTGCCAGGAGAGTAAAATGTTCTGTATCAGCCCATTTTACCCTTTCTCTGGTGTCTACAGGTAAGAAGTAGCGCTGTCAACCCAAGGACACTCTCAGTTCAAATTCACCAGCTGCTCCACTGGAAAAAGATGGACAATCAATCTCCTCCCATGGGATTTACTACCTCCAAAAACTTACTGCAAGGTCAGCTATGGGTCCTTTCCAACTAAACAGTAACTAACAACAACAAACATCTCATATCCATAGTGAAACAGACAGGGGAGATAGCATAAAGGGCTGAAGGTCAGGGTGGGTAAATGAGTTGCCAAAACCCAATGTTTTTTCTACAACATTATCTAACCATGCATCTACTCATAAGAAATGAAACACAGGTCTAATTGGAACTCCAAATGACTGTCCAAGATTATCATCAGTTTTATAATGGTGTATAGGCTGGTGTCCAGTCTTTATTCTAACAACTTCTTTAACTCCTTATTTTTACAAATAGACTCTAGATTTTTAAAATGAGTTCTTTTGCTTCTCCAGGTATGAAGCATACAATGAAATGTACTGTAAATAAAATCTCAAGATTAAAATTCTTTCAAATGTCTTAGGAAATCTCACTGGAGCATACAATGCCCAAGTATTTTTCTAAAATTGTCAAGGAGTTAAACAGAAAGGTGCATTTATTTAGAACTGAATTAGACCAGGTATCAGGGAGGAAAAACCAAACAAACAAGAAATTACCCTCATTGCCATGGAGTTGGAATCAACTCGCTGACCTGTCAGTGCCTTTTCAGCGGCTGTAAATCACACAGGAGGAGACTGCCCACCTTTCTCCCAGAGTCACTAGTAGATGGGAAACACCAGGCAAGTGTGGCCTCTGGGTTAGTAGCAGTTTCCTACGGACTACGTCACCAGGGCCAAGTCAGATAGACTCAACTCAAACAAGTCAGAACAGACTGACAGCTGACCCTCCAGGGAGTTTCACAGGCTGTAAACTGCAGATTGTCTGTCCACCTTTCTCCTCAAGGGCTGTTGGTAGATTTGAACCACCAGAGAGTCGTGACCCTTAGTTTAAAAATGCAAGTAACTCCCTCTAGAGTAGGTAGGCAACCAGAGCTCTCCAAGCCAAATCTACTTCACTTTAAATAGAAAATGGCATAGCTCAAATTATAAAGCATAACCTTACTAAATGGAATGGATAAAAAAAAATTAAGGTAAGATTTAGGTAAAAATAAAAAAGCAAGTAAACAACAAAAGTCAGAAATGACTTGTTTCATTAGCTATAATAATTTGCTGTTGTAGGACGTTCTAAGAAAAAAAGAAAATGGAACTAAAATCCAAAGAATACTAAGCATTGACAAGGTAAATAAATTTAATATTTCTCTTGGTTTTCAGAATAAACCATTTTTATAATGAGTAGACTGCTAAATGCAGCCTGTCAAGGGAGCTCTGGTGGCCTAGTGGGTAAGGAATTGTGCTGCCCACCCACAGGGACATAGCTCCAGTTTATTATTGACTGTTCCTTGGGAGAAAGATGGGCAGTCTTCTCCCACTTGATTTATAGTCTCTGAAAACCCACTAAAGGGTCAGATATGAGTCAGCTCTGACTGGTGGGCACTTAACAACAACTCCCATGTTACACTGATTCAACTTATTGCAAGTAAGTTGGATAACTTATTGCAAATTTGTTTTTAAATATTAACATCATTGTGATCCTGTAGGGCAGAGTATGACTGACCCATAGATTTCTACATTAATAAATCTTTACAGAAGCATATTGTCACATCTATTTCCTGTAGACTGGCTGGTGAGTTCAAACTGCTAACTTTTTATCTGGCAACCGAGCACTTAACCACAGGGACTCCTTACTTACTTTATAATCTATGGCAAATTGCAATTTAATTGGCAGCATTTCCCCCCCAACTTCCAGTCAGTAAATAAATTAACAGTTTATCTTATGAGAGAGGGCATCTTAAATTCAATAAAATATAGCATGAAACTGACAAGATGGGACTATCTAGTTGAAAAGGATAGCAGTGAGGTATATTCATTTACTTAATTGTTATTAAGTAGCTGTTACATAGATAAGAGTGAGGAACTACAAACCATAAAGGTGCTCTGAAGAAAAAAAATCTGGACCTGAATTTTAGCTTAACTACGTATCATGTGATCTAAGGGAAGAGTCTTAGACTGAGCTCCATTTTTCACCTAATAGGGGTATAATACCAATTCTGTAAGCCTGTGAGGCTCAGTTAACATACCACCATCTTTTCTTGACTTGTGCCTGTATGGCCAAATAAAGTTATTAAAAAGAGTCATTAAATGTTTGAATGAAGTCCTTTTGTTATCTTTAGTGAGTCTGTATACATTAAAAAAGGAAGGAAGTTAAGGAGAAAACAAAACAAATTAACCACTTTTACCTGGAACCTGTGCTCTGACAGTTTTCTTTGTGACTTGTTGGCTTAGGGTGCTTTGTGAAGACAGCTCATCCTCTAAAGAATAAATACAGCCAGAGTTAAAATTCAGAATATGTAATTTAGGAAATCATGGTACAGATTACACAAATTAGGAGCAATATATAAGTGGAAATTCAAGTAACAGACCTCTACTGGAAACATGTAATTAAGTTTACTAAAACTTTAGGCCTAAATTAGTTATTCTTGTGTATGCTACATATATATCCACAAACAAAATAAAGCATGTTTGTTGTTACTGTGTATCACTGAGTCTGAACTGACCCCTAGCTGACCTTCAGCAGGTTTCCAAGAGGCAGTAACTGCAAGGGAGACTGCCCATCCTTCTCCCACAGAGCAGCTGGTGGATTAGAACTGTGTGCCTTCAGAATGGTAGGGCAGATTCTTAGCACTAGGCCACCAGGACTCCCTAAAAGCACATGAATACACCCAGATACAACTAAGGACCTCTTGGGACAGGGTTACTGGGTTGTTGAGGACCAAGGATCATAGTGTTGGGGACAACCTGGTCAATTAGCATAACATTGCTCATCATGTTCTACAAACTAGTTTGGTGAGTAGTGTCTTAAAAAGTTTGCAAGCTGTCATCTAAGATCTACTTACTGGGTCTCTACACATCCGTAATAAAAGAGAAAGGAGGAAACCAAAGAGTCAAAGAAGAAACTAACTTAGAGGATCAACAGTCTCACCCGAACCATAGCCTAATTACCTTGAAAACAGAAGAACATGTTGCTAGGTTCAGATCAGGGACACAATAAATGATCCAGATAGACTGGGAAGAAAATGCTGAACAAAATTCAAATGTTTTTTTTTAAAAAGGGTCTATTTGATCAGGAGAAATGTGAGAAACTCTTACATTACTAATATGTTATTGTTATGTGCAGCTGAGTCAACTACGACCCATAGTGACCCTATGATCAACAGCTCAGAAACCTGCCCACCCTGCACCATCCTCATCTCTGACACACTGAAGTCCACAGTTACAGTTACTGTGTCACTCTGTCTTGCTGAGGGTCTTCTCTCTTTCTCTAAGCCTCTAGCTTTTCCAGCATAAACTTGGAAGTCATGTTAGAGGTCCCCTATCAGTCAAAAGACAGAGGGGTTCCTAAAAGAAATAATATTAGCCTGCGTGTACTGTACTTTTCTAAACAATCATGTAAGTGAGAACTAAAGTTAACCTTGACCACAGATCAAAGATGAGACAAGGAACCAGATTAAAGTAAACAGTAACTCAAACTAAAGAGAATGCTGATATTGTGAAAAGTTTAACCAGTATCAATTCATGATATATACTGAAATGGTTAAATGTGAACCTAACAACATGCCCCTTGGCTTTTGTTAACTAAGGCATTTACTTCTGCTTTCTTACATCTATAAGGATCTAGGGAGGTCTGGCGGCCTAGTGGTAAGAAGCTGCACTGCAATCCCCAAGGTACAAGGTACAAGCTGCTCTGAGGAAGAATTGTGTGCAACTTCCTCTCATATAATTAAAACTCACTGCAGGGCCTGCTATGGATTGGTTTTGACTTGACAGTATACAACAACTGGCTATACAATTTTTCCTGAGAGTACAATATTTTTAAAAATAAGCTAATTCACCAAATTGTAAAAATAAACGATTCACCACTGACACTTTATGACAACAAAAATTTTTTTCAGAGGAAAAAAAAAATCCCATAAGGCTAAGATCATAAGAAATACTGTAGAAGAACGGATAAAGACGAAGAATGCTTAGATCCTTATGTTATTGTGCACCTTGGACTAGGAAAAGACCCACAGCTGACCCTCCCACAGGTTTTCAGAGGCAGTAAATCACAGGAGAGGAGATGGCCCATCATCCTGTGGTGCAGCTGGTAGATTCCAACAGCTTGCCTTTGGGTTGACAGCACAACTCCTTACCATTAAGCCACCAGAGCTCTCTAGATAATTAGAAAAGCAGAAGTAAATTCCTTAATAGTTAAAAAAGGCTTGTGAGTGTCTGAGTGTTACTCTGTACAGAGTGTTACACTGTACAGTTACATTGTCTACCATGTACAAGCTTTCACCTAAATACTAAAGGAGACACAAAATCAGCATAAATACTGAAGTGCTTTCTTCATAAAGTTTATAATCTTAAGAGATGAAACCAACATATATATTAGTTCCACTTGCTGATTTTCAAAACGAAACTTCCAAAATCAACTCTTTAAATGTGTCAGCATTTCACGTGTCAGCAGGTAGTCTAAGCTGAAAATACACTGACTCTTCACATCCATCAACATCTACCACTGTGTCATCCTATTGTGACTCAGTTGATTTTTTTTGCTTCATGAGTATCGGAAGCGAACATGAAACTTTACCTGTGATTTAGTGTTAACTGCCTGGGGGGGCAGGGTGGGGGAGAATAGGTTAAGAGAATGGATCCAATTGTGATTCACCTAAAATGATACTGTTTTAGAGTAAAGCATTCAGCCATGTTGAATAGCTGTTGAGTAGTTAACCGATTCTAAAGTCCTACCACAAATTTAAAAAATGCCAGTTTACAAAGATCTCCACTCGCAGCTTCTGAGTTTCAAGCACCTTGCTAGTAAAGCCCCTTTATTATGTATATTTAGTGTTGTTGTGAGCCGTCAAGTCACATTATTAATACCTTAAAAAAGCCGAAGTGCCAAAAACCAAAGGAATAAGAATTTATGGTATGCCTCTTTTACACTTCCATAGCCCACTAACCTGGACTAAACAAATTCACCTGTTTTCCCTTAGTAACATCTGCTGTATATTTCCCCTTTCACGTATCTGTAAACATCCTTGAAATAGTTAAGTTGCAGACATGAACTTGCTAACCATACTAAAGGGATTTTTTTGTCATTTAAGAAACCAGGAAATAAATGTATGAGCAACCCGTTTTTTGCACTATTGTAACTGGTAAAAATCTGTCTGAAAGATGTAGTCTCGGGAGTGTCAGGATTTGCTGTCCTGCCAGCTGTCTGATTCTCTTTACCTTTACCTTCCCCTCTCCCCTCTTATACCATACATACACCACCTTGTTGTATGCATGCCATACAACACTACCTTTCTTTGACTTTTTGTAACTGCAGAGGTTACTGGGTGTTTTAGGGGGGTTTTTTTTACACCCCCCCCCAAAACTCATACTAGCAGCATATTGGCCCGTCTAGCAGAGGATTTCCTAATTAATACTCTTGTTTTGCCAGTCAGAGACCAGCATATTTGAGCTCAGCTTCATCAGACACCGGGAAGCTTCAGATCTGGGTAACTTACCGTATTTAGGTGTCAGGATGTGGGTGGCAACTGCGTTAGCCACAGCATCACCTACGCTCTCCTACATTCCCCTTCTTACCAGGATGAGGATGAAAAATGACTGGAAGTGCAGACTAGAGTCAAGATCCTAGGTTGGGGATTTTCAGGCCTCTGACAGCTCAAGGAGGAAATGGAAGCGGCTTGGGTAGAAACACATGTAGGACAGAGGGGGCTCGAAATGAAACTGCGACAGCAATGATTCGGGGTCTCAACTGCAGCCTGAGTCCTCGTCCCCTTGTGGAAGCCTACTGGAAAAGCAACCTTGACTGTCCTAAGTTGATGCCCTCGGATGGGCTGCAGCTCCTCGGTTTGGCCCCAGCGGCCTCCTTTCCCGCCCTCTCGCCGGCGCCGGTCCCCAGCAAGCTCCCCTCCACCCCTGCGTACCGGGGCGGACTCTGCACGGGGACTCACGCATAGCGGAGACAGAGGAGCCACCGGAGTGCCGCCCGGAGGAACTCGGCGGCGGCGCACACCCGCCCCAGGCGCGCACCCCGGCGCCGCACACGCTCTCCCGCTAGCGGCCGTACCTTCCCTCCACGGTGCTCACCTTCGGAGGAATGCGAGTCCCGCAACCCTCTCCTAGTCATAACCGGAGACGGCTGTAGTAAAGACTGCTCTGACTGCTGCTGTAGGCGATTAGATCTCCGCGTCTTCATTTCCGTGGCTTTCTGGGCTCGCGGCTGTCTCGGCGGCCGAGATCGAAGGTAGTACACGCTTTCTTTCGTTTCCTCTTTCTCAAAGTCAGACCGGAACTCTTCTGGCGGGATTCGTTTTCCTACCGGGGACGTTTCCCTGCTCACCCGGGGCATGAAGTCGCCGTACACTTCTGGCGGTTCCTCTGAGAACCTCACTTCCCGCCGGCCGTGGCGTAACTGAGAAGGCGTACCGTACGCAGGCGCCTGACTGCCGCTGCCATTTTGAGAAAGGAGCCGGCGCCTCCCCTCCCGAAGGGGGGCCCTGGGCGTGACGTATATCGCCCATCCTTCCCCCACCGGCTCCCCCCGCCGCCCCTCGCCCGCCATAGTTGTTGACGTATCTGGAGTCCTTTGCAAGGGTGGTTTCGGAGTACCTAGTTTCTTCTGCCGATGTTGACGATCGCTTCTCGAGGTGTTGGGCACTGGCTGCGTCGGTCAGGGAGGCAGCTGAGAATCGCTGCGTTTGCCACCTGTGCCCTGTCAGCTGTGCTGGTTACCCGCCGCTGGTGGCCCATGGTGGCTCCTGTGGGCTGTGGGAGAGGCACTGCCCGGTCTGGGTCAGCTGCTATGTGTCATTCCCGCCTCCTGGCTGGAGGCACCAAAGAGGAGGAGAAGGAGGACGTCGCTGCCCTCGGCCTTGAGGGAGAGGGAATGGGGCAACAGCAGGGACAAGTATCTGGGCAGACTGGCCTAAAGCCAGCACTCCCGGCGACAGTTGCCTGCGCGCTGGAGACACCTGCCCCGGCCCTCTGTACCTTGTACCTGGTTCAGAGTGAGGCGAAGTTAGAACAGACTTAAGTTTCATTTTTCGCCTGCAGGCTGTTGCGCACTTTTCTTGGGAAAACTTTTATGATCGGCTGCTGCCTTAACTGTGTCCTTCATATGCCCCCAGCGAGACTGACAGATCACTTCTGCATCTGTAGCTTCTCATGGAGACCCTTTAAGTCAGCTAGAGAAAGCATACAAAATCGTATCTGCTGTCTAGCTCATTGAGTGAATCCCCGTCTGCGAACTGTAGTCACGGCATACTTGCATAATATGAGCGCTGTTAGTGCTGCGTGATGCGCTGTGCAAAAGGTAGACAGGCTTCTCGTTAACCGCGGTGCGGTGATTTTTTTGTTACTACCCTTTAGTCTGTTTATGGGCATCTTTTATACTCCATTTGGCTTAGAATTCTGTGTTTGGTTTACTGACTTAAAAACAACAAAAATAAAACAATCACCTTGTACGACCACATTTAAAGATTTTGATAATGTGCAAATAAATAGCTAACCAAATTTGGGTAAATTGAAAGAGTTGATTAAGTTAAAGTGTGGATAATTATTAAAGGAAAGCTTTGTTACCTTCAAATATACCAAGTGGACTTCATGGAGGACTTTATGATTGGTTTTAGTAAGTAGATGAAAATTTTTTTAACACAATACAGTCACCATTTCTGAAGATTTTTAAAGCTGGCTTTCACGTCCATAATCACATTTATTGTTATGTACCTTTGAGTCCAGTGCGGTTTCAGAAGCAATAAATCACGCAGGAAGGGTTTACCCTCAGAGCAGCCGGTTGATGTAAACCAGTTGCCTTTGCATTGGCAGCGCACTGAGCAACCAGAGCTGCATAATTATCGTAGACTATTGTTGCGTTCACTTGTTGGTCAGAATTATTATACATATAAATTTAACCATGTCTTTCGATGTAGTATGTTTTCACTAAGATTCTAAGTTTGGTTATAGATATAAAGAATAATATGCTTTGGGGAAGCCTTATTCCTATACAAGCAGTTCTTCTGTGTAGCGGACCACTGGGATCCAGCAGCAGCTTGAAGGGGCTTGCAATTTACAGACAGGGAACCCTGAAGGAAAGATCTCTGAGTTAGAACTGACTCTTTGGCAATGCGCGAATGAGCCAGTCCATTAAGAGTTTAATTTAACTATTATATGTCACATAGCCAGATGAACTGGAGGAAAAACAAAAAAGAAGGCAGGAAGATTTCCTTCTTTTTTTAAATCTTTTAAGCAAAAATGAAACACATACTTGCCCTTATTGTTCTTGTTGTTATGTGCCGTCGAGTTGCTTGCGACTCGTAGTGACCGTATGTACAACAGCCCTAAACCCTGCTCTATCCTGTGCCAATCCTATTGTTTCTGATACACCTACCCCCATTACTCCAGTCACTGAATCAATCCATCTCATCGAGGCTCTCCCTCTCCTGCACTGTCCTTCCACCCTCCCAAGCATGACTCCCTTCTCCAAGGAGTGATCCCACCTTGCAACATGCCAAAATTATGTCAGCAGCCCATCGCATATTCAAAGCTCTTCTCCAGCACCAAAGCTCAAAGGCATGCCCTTATTAGCTAATGTTAAGAGGTAAATTTGCAAAACTAGTGGGTGAAGAGTAATGATACTTGGCCATACTTGCTTTTCTTTATTACATTTTAAGTTTAAAAAAATATATTGTGGTTTTGGTGAACATTTACACTGGAAATTAGGCTCCCGTTTGACATTTTTTAAATGTATCTATTATTCAGAAAGCTCTGGTGGCTGGGTCCATAGAGAATCGTGCTGCTAACCCAAAGGCTACACCACTCTAGTGATCCTAATCCACCATTCTCCTTCCCTGTAATTTACAGCTTTGTAAACATGCTGGAGGGTCAGCTTTCTTAGTTGGTTCTGACTCAGGGTCAATGAATTATGTATGTTGTCAGTGATGTTACATTTTCTGTCTTAAAGTTTTTCTATAACATGAATACTATTATTGCTTGCTGTTAACAAGGAATGTGAAATGTTTGGTTATAGGTATAATTATCAAAGGATATAAAACTTTATTGTATTAATACTTCATTTTATGAATGTATCAAGAGCCTCTGTAAAATATTTACCAAGAAGATGATGTCATAGAAACTTGGATACAACAAGTTTTACAACTTAAGTTTGGGGAATATATTAAAAGAGAATAATATTCTATGTAATACTGAATATCAGTACATGTATTAAGTAGTATTTTAAAATGCTTTTAAATGCTTAAGTAAATGAATCATGAGACTCTTAAACCAAAAGCAGGGTCAACATTTGCTTAGGTTTTTCCCTTTGTTTAGGTAGCCTTAACTGCCCCTCACACCTAGCAACCTTATATCCTAAATTAGCAGTGGTAACTTTGTGCTAAACTCTTGTCTAGATATCCTGCTGTAGGTGCTTTTCAAACCACAATGGTAACCCAAAAAAGGTGACATTATAGAAACAGTAGATCTGTAGTCAGTATTATTAGGAAATTGCTGTGCATTTGCTAAAAGGATGGCTGAGCTTTGGCCGTTAGAGAATTACTTTGGGAATTTGAGATATATGGAGGGATCAGTGAAACATAAGAAAATGAATGATCATAATAAAGAATATTCAATTGAATTCTTGTATTTATTAAGTAAGCATCTATTTTGTACCAACAAAGATTTTTCACCCTTAGGAATTTGCCAGGTATTAAGGAAGACAAACATAAAAAAAAATTATATTTCAAATTAAAGGAATGCATTAATTTATGTAGGCATTTAGGCCTACGAATCCAGTGGATTTCTAAATGACATAAAACTTGGTAAAGTTAGAACCTTTCCAAAACGGAGGGATGGAAAAGGAGAGGAAGACTCTAAACCAGGTGGATTGACACAGTGACTGCAGCTGTGGGCTCAATTGTGTCAGAGATTGAGAGGATGGCACAGCATAAAATAGGGTTCAGATCTGTTGTTCATAGGGTCACTAAGAGTCATATTCAACTTGACAGCACCTAATAGGGTATTAACCTACTAGAGAAAGTAAACTCAAATATATTCATTACAATGAGTGGTAGAAAAGTTGAAAGAATTCATGTTGTCAAAGACAGAAAACTTCTGAAACTCATTAAATCAAGGCAGACCCTCTAGTTTCAGCTTTCATAGGTATCACTGTATTTAAAATGACATATATTTTATTTTATAATTTTTAGGTACTATCAAGTCAGAACCAACACATAGCTGACCCTCCAGTGGACTTTCAGAGGCATTAGCTCATACTGGGGGAAACTACCAATCTTTCTCTTGTGGTGTAGCTGGTGGATCCACACCGCTTGCCTTTGGGTTGGTAGCATAACTCCTTTACCACTAAGCCACCACAAGTCCCTTATTACATAATTGATACAATTATTTTGGTACATGAGTATTTTGTTTAAATACAAATCCCTTGTGAAACAACTATTAGGCACTCAGCTGCCAAGGTCAAGCTTACTCATTGCCATCTATTGGGAACCTCTTTGGGTTTCTGAGCTATAAATTGCATGGGAGGAAACTCCACAGCTTTTGCCTATGAAGTTACTGGGAGGTTTGGCCTACCAGAGAGGGTTAGCCTCTGTGTCAGCACTTTGACTTTCTATGGACTAGGCAAGCAGACCTACATCACCTCGCCAACCTGCAGAAGAAAGAACTGGTATCTGCCTTTTAAAGACTAGACTAGGAAGCCTCATTTCCACTCTGTCGCATGGGATGGCTGTGAGTTCAGATCAACTTGATGGCACTAATAAGAAATAGAAATCCAGTTATTAATTGAGAAAATACACAAATTCAGAACATTTCTGGCCAAATAGGGAAACATGGCGTTGAGATTGCATTTCAGTAGGAAATAACAATCTTATTAAGGAAAGTGATTAAATAAGATGAAGATAATTAAAGCTATCAAAGCTCAAATCATCTCTCCCTTCCAAATTCTCACCTATGATAAAAAATATTTTAATAATTATGAAGATAAGTTAAAATCCTGGACCTGTCATACTGAAATTAGGCAAACTTAACAAAGTGAATATAATACATATATTCTTTCTTGCTTGGAAGGAGAAGTGGCATCTACTTCTGTAATAGCTTGCCTCCAGAAACCCTATGAACCTGGAGAGAGGATGAAAGGCACCCAAGCGTCGAGGACTCTCCTTCATAGAGTCGCTATGAGTCGCCTGTGACTCGACGGCACTTAACAACAACAACAACATTCTTTCTTGATTTAGAAATTGTCATCAATTAATGAATAGAATCTAAAAATGTTTCAAATACTATGTTTGTGGGTTGGTTTTTTTGCTAAAAGAGGTGATTCGAGAGGTGGTGGTTGTTGTTATGTGCCGTCGAGTTGCTTGCAACTCATAGTGACCCTATGGACAACAGCCCTAAACTCTGCTCTGTCCTGTGCTAATCACACTGTTTCTGATACACCCATCCCAATTACCCCACTGAATCAATCCACCTCATAGAGGGCCTTCCCCTCCTGTGCTGTCCCTCCACCCTACCAAGCATAATGTCCCTCTCCAAGGACCAGTCCCTCCTTACAACATGTCCAAAGTATGTTAGACAGACCCTCAGAATCCTTGCCTAAAAGGAGCAGCTCGGTTTAACCCTTTCCAGGATGAATCTGTTTTTCTAGCAGTCCATGGTACCCTCAATACTCTTCTCTAACACCACAGCTCAAGGGCATTAATTCTCCTTCTATCTTCCTTAGTCATTGTCTAACTCTCTGATGCATAACAGACCATGGCCTGTATCAGACACCCCTTAGTCTCCAGAGAGACACCATTGTTCCTCAGTACTTTGGAGAGGTCCCTAACAGCAGACATTCCCATCACAATATGTCTTAATTTCCTGGCTACTGGTGCCAAGAGTGTTGACTGTGGAGCCAAGCAAACTAAAGCTGTAAACAATCTCAATCTCTTCACCATCCATCCTGATGCTGCCAATTGGTCCAGTGGTGAGAATCTTTGTCTTCTTGACATTGAGCCTCAGTCCATATTGGAGGCTGCAGTCCCTGACCCTCTGCAGCAGGCGCTTCAGGTCCTCCTCAGTTTCAGCAAGCAGGGTTGTGTCATCTGCATAATGCAGACTGTTGATAGATCTTCCACCAATCCTGACCCCACATTTCTCCTCATAGAGACCAGCCTCCCAGATAATCTGTTCTGCATAAAGGTTGAAAAGATATGGAGATAGGACATATCCCTGGCGTACGCCCTTTCGAATTTTGAACGATGCAGTGTTTCCTTGCTCTGTTCTGACGACTGCCTCTTGGTCCAAGTATAGGTTTTGCATTAGCACGATCAAGTGTTCTGGGATTCCCATTCTTCTCAGAGTCAGCCACAGTTTGTTATGATCCACACAGTCAAACACCTTTGCATAATCAATGAAACACAGACAAATCAAATACTATAAAGATAATTCAGTAAATATTTGTGGTCCTGCTATACACTAGCCAGACACTACAGTTCTAGGTGCTATGGATTCAGCAGTGAATACAATAGAACAAAATATAAACAAAGTCCTCTCTTCTTGGAGTTGATACTGTAATGGAGAAATCATATAAAAAGATGTAAATAGTGTGTTCATTATAAATATTATGGGGGAAAGGGAGACTATGTTGTTTGTGGAGAAATGAATATTTAGATGTTGTTTGTTGTTGTTATGTACCATTCAATTGTTTGGAACTCATAGCATCCCTGTGTATAATAGCTCTGAACTCTGCTCTATCTTGAACCAATTGCTTTGTCTCCGACCCACCTACCCTCATTACCCCCGTCACTACGTCTCATCCAGGGTCTTCCTCTCTTGTGCTTTCCCTCTACTTTCCAAGCATGGTGTCTTTCTTTAAGGACTGGTCCCTTCTGGCAGTGTGCCCAAAGTATGTCAGACAGAGCCTCAAAATCCTTGCCTCCAAGGAGCAGCCTGGCTTTACCCTCTCCAGGACAGACATGTTTGTTGTCTTGGTGACTCATAGTATGTTCTTCAGTACTCTTCTCCAACACCACAACTCAAAGGCATCAGTTCTTTTTTCTGTCATTCTTAGTTGTTGTCCAACCATGGCTTGAATCAGGTGTACCTTAGTCTCTAGACCGAGAACGCTGCTCTTCATTACTCTGGAGAGGTTCTCTGACAACAGATTTTACCAGTGAAATTTGTCTTTTGATTTCCTGCTTTTCGCTGCTGATGCCAAGAGTGTTGATTGTGGAGACAAGCAAGCTGAAGCTATTAACATTCTCACTCTCTTCTCTGTCATGCTGCTACCAATGGCCCAGTGGTGAGAATCCTTGTTTTCTTGATGTTGAGCTTTAATCCATATTGAAGACTTCAGTCCTTGACCTTCTGCAGCAAATTCCTCAGGTCCTCCTCAGGTTTAGCAAGCAAGGTTGAGTTACCTGAATAACGCAAGTTGTTGATGAGTCTTCCCCCAATCCTGATGCCACATTTCTCCTCATAGAGCCCAGCCTTGCGGATAATCTGTTCTGCAGATAGACTGAAAAGATATGGAGACAGGATGCATCCCTGATGCACACCCTTCTTGATTTTGAACCATGCAGTATTTCCTTGCTCTGTTCTGATGACTCCTCCTTGGTCCAAGTATAGGTTACACATAAGCACAAGTGGTCTGGAACGCCTATTCTTCTCTCAAAGATATATATAGCAATGATAAAAGTTTAAAGACTATGGTGCACCTGATCCAAGCCATAGTCTTTCCTTTAGCTGGTATACATCTGAGAGCTAGGCAGTGAATACGGATGGCAGGAGAAGAATTGATGCCTTTGAGTTGTGGTGTTGGAGAAGAGTACTGAATATCCCATGAACTGTAAAAAGAGCAAACAGATATATATGTCTTGAAGAAGTGCAGCCAGAATGCTTCTTGGAAGCAAGGAGCTGGGGCTAAGAGACATTATGCTTGGAAAGGTCAGTGAAGGAAAGGAAGGTCCTTAATGAGATGGGTTGATACAGTGACTGCAGCTCGGGCTCAATATGTCAAGTTTGAGGATACCACAGGATAGGACAAGGTTCAGATCTATTGCTTGTTGGGTCTCTATGGCACCTCACAACAACCAATTTTATGTTCTTGGGCCAATTGCTTCTCTTTTTTTCTAGTTTTTCACATTTTTAAAATTTGTAGATCAAAATAATGACTACTTTTTATTGATCAGTTACTAATACTGTTTAGTGGATAGGTATACGCCATCTCATTACTCACAATAACCTTATTAGTATAAAACAATAACTTTGTAAGTAAACCATTTGTTATTTGATGTGTACCTAGAGTCAGAACTGACCCATAGCTGACCCTCCAGTTGTCTTTCAGAGGCAGCTAATCGCATTGGAGGAGATTGTCCATCCTTCTCCCACGAAGCAGATGGTGGCCTCGAACCGCTGGTCTTGAGGATTGCAGCACGATTTCTTGCTGCTAGGCCACCAGAGAGCTCTCTAAACCAATATAAAAATAAAAATTTTATTTAAAAAACATAAAAAATGAGTAAGAGGAAAACTTTTATTAGTCAGATACACTACTCTGCTTAACACATAGCCAAACTGAGTCTTAGGTTGAACAACTGCCTAGTAATATCAGACTCGTCTTCAAGGGATGTGATTGTCATCATTTGGTATTGCCTCTCACTATTTTGCTTCTGTTTTCCAAACTATGAATCTCAGATTATTGTGTTTATCAGAATTGGTAGATATCTTGCAGAAATACCTGCATTCTATCAATCAGTACGAGAATTCTGAGATAATGATTGTCATACATACTTAATATGACTTTGGTCGTACATATTTACCATTTACCATGCTCTGGTCCTGATGTCCCTGAAGACTTCTGGGGTATAGGCGTGAACAAGTTGTTGCATACCATCACGTTGTGATGGACCCAAAACTTCCCCTGCAGATTTTCAGAGACAGTTAATAAATAATTTTTTTTTTTTAAAAAGAGGCCTTGGATTAGAACTGCTTACTTCTGTGATAGCTGCACACTTCCTTACCCTTAAGCAACTAGAGGTTGGTAGGTTTGAGTAGGGGAGGAGCGGGAAAGCAAAGGGAGGGACTGTCCAGGGAGGGAGACTACTAGTCCCAGCATGCCGCGGGCGCCTCCCGGCAGAGGTCATGGTCACGTGGACTGGGGACCTGGAGCCATAAGAAGGCGCTGCTGGAGCGGTGGGGTGGAACCTGGAGCTGTAGAGCAGGAAGGACGTTGAGCGAGAGCTTCGCCCCACATTGACAGTCTGCTATTTAAAACAGCACTCTCAGAGTTGTAAGTAAACAAAATGAGCATTCTCCTTTTCTGTGTTTTGATATTTGAACTAGTACCTTTTTTCAAAAATCTCTTTGAGGAATGATCTTTCCCCACCCCCACCACTGTAGTGCAGGAATATTGAGATAGGATGGGAAACTATTTTTGTTTTGGACATATTAAAAATAAAATATTCAAAGCATTAAGTGAAATAAAGTGTGATCCGCTAGCGGGGGAGGAAGGAGAGTTTAAATAAGCAGAATTCCCTGAGGGTTCAAAGTTTAAGTGGGACATTTGACTAGGAGAGCAAGTAGTAATACTCTTTCCCTCCAAGACAGAAGTGAAATATCCCTTATAAGATTTTTTAAAACATTTTTTTAATTAATTTTATTTTTGTGTCCGTGTACCGTCAAATCAGATCTGACTGGTACAGGAGGAGTTTGTCCCTCCTTTTCCCGGCAGAGCATCTGGTGTATTCGAACCGTGTGCCTCTGGGATTGTAGTTGTAGCTCCTCGCCACTAGGGCACCAGAGCTCCCCTATAAGATCTTATCGTTCATCTAAATCCTTTTAATTTTTGTTTTTAAAACCTTTAAAAACACCCCCCGCCTAAAAAACCCAGCCGAACTTGGTGACCTTGAGTTGGCAACCCTATGTGTGCAGGGTAGAATTCTTTGGTTTTCAAGATTATAACTTTCAGAAAGAGATCTCCAGGCCTGTCTTCTGAGGTACCGCTGAGTTTTCCAGCTACTTTGCTTTCCATTAACAGTTAACTGCTTCTGCTTGATGTTTTAAGAAACTTTAGAAGTGACTTTCTACTTTAATGTCACATATAAAAACAAAACACCAAAAATCTCTTGCCATAAAACAAAACACCAAAAATCTATTGCCGTAGAGTTAATCCCAACAGGTAGGATCCTATAGTCCTGGGCAGATCTAGGCTTTCCAAGGCTATAAATCGTTATGGAAACTGATTACTCTGTCTCTCCCCTTGTTGAATGGTAGATACGCTGAAACAACCAACCATTTGGTTAGCGTGGCTTTCAGGATTCCTATATGATGTTTGAAAACGCCTCTGCTCTATTTCACATCAGTGAAAAGGTTTACCTATTTTTTCTTCTTTCAGCAGCTCCATACTTTGTTACTCTGCTTTGTCAGCAGCACTTGTTAGACTTTATACTATTATACTGATAAAGAAGTGACTTATCTTAACTTAGCATAAGTCATTGACTTACTTTTATTTGCCTTTAGATGTAAAAGAATATTTTGGATCTTTATGAAAATCCTTTTCCTCATCATCGCTCTCTTTTTTTTTTTTTAAGAATTAGAACCATGGCAACTATACTAATTTATCTGTTTTCATTTTGGCACATGATTAGTATATAAAAAACTGGTGTATATTAGTAGAAAAAGTAACTTCATGATTAAGCAGAAAAACACACCAATAAATCAAACATAAAGCCTCCAGAGCCCTACATTGCTGTTGAGTTTTCCGGTTTTGTGGTGACCCCGTTGTGGCAGTTTGAACTCCATAGTTTTCAAGGCTGTGACCTTTTGGAAACAGGTTATTCAGTCCTTCTCCCAAGTCTCCTCTGGATGTGAGTTGTGTTGACATCAAGTCAAATGGACCAATAGCTAACCTTCCAGTGGGTTTTCAGAGGCAGTCAATTACACAGGAGGAGAGTCCCCATCCTTCTCTCATAGAGCACCTAGTGGATTTGAACCATGTGCCTTTGAGATTGCAGTGCAGCTTCATACCACTAGGTGACCAGAACTCCCTAGGTGTGAGTGTAACCACTGAGTAATTAACTGGTCCATTGTTTAATTGCCTTTGTCACCGCAGAAGAACTCACAGTGGCCTTGGAAGCCTCTGTGTGGATTAGATCCATTTGCCAAACTAAGGAGAAGTCTCGGAAATGTTTATTATAGTTGAGTACAGAATTTACAGTTTGATTACCCATTTTGGTGTTGACTTATTTTATCATCATGAGTTATTCATTTAATCTAGTTTTTACCTGGTTTCTAAGGCTGAAGTGATACTAGCCTGAAGAGTGTCTCTAATTCACAAAGAAAATTACTTGAGAATTCAGCAGTTTACTGAGTTACTCAGTCTTACACGTAATTTAGGGAGCTCTGGTGGCCTAGTGTATAGAGTGGGTGGCATTGCTAAACAACAGATCAGCAGTTCTAATCTACCAGCTTGGGAGAAAAAGGGCAGTCTCTTTCCATGAAGATTTATAGCCTCAGAAACCTGACGGAGGGTCCCCATGAGTCAGAATTAACTTGATGGCAGTAGGTTTGGTTTCTAAAATGATATTACTGTTAGAATTCCTAGTGATGTAATGAGTTATGTTTTGGGCTGTTAACTGAAAGGCTGGTGGTGCGAATCTACCAGCCACTCCACCATAAAAGCTCTTACATTTATAGCCTCTGAAATCCCATAGAGAGAGCGCCACAGTGAGTCAGAATTGATGTGGTAGCAGTGGGTTGGTTTTTTTTATATTGATATTACAGCAGTAATTTATTAATTATACAGCTTCTTTCTATAAAATATAACTATATGTTTACTTTATAAATTATTTGACCACCAACTTTTGACAGTATTAATGGGAACATAGTAAGGTAGAATTAGCGAAACATTTCCTATCTTAATAGATGAAGTATTTGCCTGTGGTTTTATTAGTTGTGGCAGTAAAAATATGATTTCTATACAAGGTCAGTTGTTATGACGCCTCTTTTTTCCCTTTTTCAAATTAGAAGTTTATCATTTGAAAGATAAATTGAAGAACAGAAGGAATTATGTTGTTCGTTGTTGTTGTGTGTTTCCGAGTTGACTGCGATTTATAGCAGCTCTGTAAACAACAGATCCAAAATTTGCCCTTCTCCTTGAAAGCAAAGATGACGAAGCCTTGTCTTGCATACTTTGGACGTGTAGCTAGGAGAGGCTATTCCATCATGCTTGGACAGATGGTGGGGTCAGCAAAGACGAGGAAGACCCTCAGCAAGGTGGATTGACATGGTGACTTCGGCAGTGCACTCTAAGTGTCAGAGATGATGAGGATGGTGCAGGTGAGGCCAGGGTTCATTCAGGTCAGCTGTTCATAGGGATGCTATGAGTCTTACTCAACAGCACCTAAGAACAACAGCGCCATCCTCACAGTCTCCATCCTGCTAAAGTCCTTTGTCACAGCCCCTGTGCCAGTTCATCTCATTGAAGGTCTTCCTCTGCTTTCACTGACTGTACAGTTCCCAGCTTGATGTCTTTTTCCAAGAACTGACCCCTCCTGACAATATACCTGAAGTCTGTGATACAGATTTCGACAGTGAAGGAATAACTAACTTTCCTTATTTAGTGCAGTGTTTCTCAAACTTTATTTTGCATCAGAATTATGGTGAAACATGTCAAAACACAAATTTTGCACAAGACCTTCAGGGAGAGCCCAAGAATTTTTTTTTTAGCAGCCTCTCAGGTATTGTTTATAATTCTTGGCCAATGAGTTATTAGTTAAGGGAATAAATATTAGCAGTTGCCATCCATATTGTTGGCTTATTAATGGTACCCTAGTAGCAATATGCACTCAGGTCTTATATTTCAAACATTATTCTGTGGTAAAGGGCTGTGGTGCTATGGTCTATAGAGAGTACCACTGCTAACCTAAAGGTGGCCAGTTCAAATCTACAAGCAGCTTCTCCAGAGAAAGATGGGAAGTCTGTCTTTCTCTACGGTTTCAGTCCATAAAAACTTGCTGGATGATAAGCTTTGTGTTTGAGCTTGATAACAGAGAGAGAGAACAAAGAATTCTTGAATAAGTAGTTGATTTCAGACCTGAGGTAGGGAAAATACAAGATAAGCAAAATGAATTGTTTACAAAAAAATAAAATCCCAAAACTGGGTAAGAGGAACATGGTGCTGATATTTCCCAAAGGGGTCTTTAAATCTTTGAATATTTATACTTTAAAAGGAATCAAAAAATTTAGAAGAAAAAAAAAAGACAATGAACCCAACTCAGCTTCTGTATGCGATTCATTACCTGATTTCTTCTAGGCTAGGTAGTAAGGCGTAGCATTATTGAATTGCATTAAGGAAAAAAATAAACCAAAACAACCCAGACACTTATGTTAAAAGAATAAATCATTGAACAACAATTACAACAACAACAAAAATATCAACACTATTTTTTTTAATTGTAACAAATGTGCCATATTAATTTTAAAGTTAATAATAGTGACAAATTGCATTAGGTAATTCTGCTGCCAGGGACCTCTGCAGAATACTGAGAAGCAATGATGTCAGCTTAGAGACTAAGGTGCACCTGATCCAGGCCATGGTCTTCACTATTATTTGCTATGCATCAGAGCTACACAGTGACTAAGGATGACAGAAGAAGAATCAGTGCCTTTGAATTGTGATGATAGAGAAGAGTCTTGAACATACCGAGGACTGCCGAAAAAACAAATAGATTTGTCTTGGATAGGATCAAACTAAGTTTCTCCTTGAAAACTTGGCAAGGATTTTAAGCTCCATGTTGGCTAGGATTTTGTGGAAAAGCTATTTTGAAGTTCCATCTCACATAATTTGAGCATGTGGCCTGGAGGGACTGATCCTTGGAGAAGGACATCATGCTCAGGAGAGAAAGACCCTAGATGAGATGTATTGACACAGTAACTGGGGCCATGGGAGTAGATGTGTCAGAGTCAGTGAGACTGGCTCAGGGCAGGGCAGGCTTTAGAGCTATTGTACATAGAGTCGCTGTGAGTCACAGGCTACTTGACAGCACATAACAACAACAACAAACTGACTGACAGTATAAAGGATTCTCTGTGCTATCTCTATTTTCATTTTTCTATAAACTTATATTCTGAAATTAAAATATTTAAATGAAACTAAAAAGAATTACTCATACCAATAGGAACCAACTCATAGCTGACCCTCTATCAGGTTTTC